GAACAGGAGTTTGAGTTTTTATTCGTCCACCTAAAAGAGAGAATTGTCCGCTGTAAACTTTCAAGCCGTTAATGCTTTTATCGATTCTGTCACCTTTAACCTCACCCCTTTCATGTCACCTTTAACCTCAACCCTTTCATGTCACCTTTAACCTCAACCCTTTCATGTCACCTTTAACCTTAACCCTTTCATGTGGGAAAGCCGGGACAAATTTCCCACACATTAGAACAATTCCTATGAAAACATTAGGCGAAACACATCGGGAAGCTACGTTACGACAGCGGCAAAGTGACTGAAGATGAGATGCCAGGTCAGGACCAATAATATTGCAAGTTCTTTGGAATTTATCAGTAAAATCCAAATACATAGCAGAAACATCAAACAAGATGTGAACGAACTTTGCTGACAGCAGACCTAGAAATTGATTAATCTTTACACATCATGTCAGCAGTAAAAAAATATAGAAGGCGCAATATGTCATTCTCATGGATGTTAGAATCAACCACGTCATCACAAAGCAAATAAATAAATAAAATAATAATTCTTTAAGACAATTTAAAGAGAGTAGTTTCGTTCTGGTGGCGTTAAAATTAACAAGCCATTGCTTGCCCCAGTAAACAACAAATTGTAGGTCATTTTTTTAGACTAATATTTAAATTGAATTTAAAATAAATAAAGGATTTTTTAATTGGAATTTATTGATGAGACTGGGTTGAATTTTCTTAATGTGTGCGTTATTGTTTCGTAACTTCAATGGTGATGATGATCAGGGCTGGTGCAAGGGTATCGTGCCCCCCCCCCCCCGCCCACGAATCTATGATGCGGTCCTGCACTCTACTACATCTCAATTTTCATTAGGCAATATTCATATAAAAAAAAATTTATTGTAACCTAATTATGTACAATAATGGATCATATGAAATATAGGTGAGCAATTCAACTAGAAAAACTGAAAATAAATAAATGTATCTAAATACAAATTAGAGACATGTCATAATAGATTATTCCGTCTTAGATAAATCAACAATGTTTGGTGGCAGTTTTTAGCATCAACTGATTTTTCTTGTTAAAAAGTTAAAGAATTTTAACACATTCAACATTATGGATAAAAAAATAGTGAAATTTATACAGTGTTTTTTTGTTTTTTTTTTTTTGAGCATGCGCAAAAATGAATTCAAGCATTGGTACAAAAAACAAAAGACCCCAGAATGACGTCAAAATCCGCGAAAAAAATTTTCATCCTTTAATAGTCAGTTGTCCTTAGTTCAATTTGTAACGTATATAAATATAGGTAGAAAAAGGTTGATACGGTAACGAGGGTATATAAAACTATATATCATATATATTATAAAACTATATGTCATATATATTATAAAACTATATATCATATATATTATAAAACTATAAATCATATATATTATAAAACTATATATCATATATATTATAAAACTATAAATCATATATATTATAAAACTATATGTCATATATATTATAAAAGTATGAATCATATATATTATAAAACTATATGTCATATATATTATAAAAGTATGAATCATATATATTAAAAAACTATGCCATACATATTATAAAACTATATGTCATATATATTATAAAACAATATATCATATATATTATAAAACTATATGTCATATATATTATAAAACTATGTCATATATATTATAAAACTATAAATCATATATATTTAAAATATATAATATATAAAACTATATGTCATATATATTATAAAACTATAAATCATATATATTATAAAACTATATGTCATATATATATTATAAAACTATGTCATATATATTATAAAACTATATGTCATATATATTATAAAACATATATCATATATATTACAAAACTATATGTCATATATATTATAAAACTATATGTCATATATATTATAAAACTATAAATCATATATATTATAAAACTATATGTCATATATATTATAAAACAATATATCATATATATTATAAAAAAACTATATGTCATATATATTATAAAACTATAAATCATATATATTATAAAACTATGTCATATATATTATAAAACAATATATCATATATATTATAAAACTATATGTCATATATATTATATAAACTATAAATCATATATATTATAAAACTATATGTCATATATATTATAAAACTATATGTCATATATATTATAAAACTATATTTGATATATATTATAAAACTATAAATCACATATATTATAAAAACTATAAATCATATATATTATAAAACTATATGTCATATATATTATAAAACTCTATGTCATATATATTATAAAACTATATTTTATATATATTATAAAACTATATGTCATATATATTATAAAACTATATGTCTTATATATTATATATATTATGATAAAACTTTTATCGTTCCACCATAATTTATCATATATCTTTGGGTTATATTACGTGGGTAGCGTAACCGTTGATGACGCTGGAAATGGTATTGTTGAATCGTGTTCATAATCGCCCAGTCTGTTGCGTTCATTTTTGCACTACTGGAAAAGGCCTGAATTCATTTCTCCTCTACCCTGTGTTGGGTTGTGGTCAGTCTAGAAAAAGGGTTGCTTTGAATTTAACACCGGAAACGGGAAATCACCCCCACTATCTTTCTGTCAAGAATCATAGAATAGGAGAATATATAGATTCGCCTATGACAACAGGAGTAATGGTTGCATCCCTCGTTTCCTGTTTTAGAATTAGGCTTCCGGTTCCTTATAAAGCATTTTTCATTCTCTTTCACTTCCAGTCGGCCTTTTCATCTTTGTGGTATTATCGCCTTGCTGAGGTGAATTGATTTTTTAAAAATCCCTGGTATTTGCGATAACTTCTTCGGGGAAAGGAATTTAAAGAGAGCTATGATCATCTACGTTCCGCTGGGACGTGACTTTTCTTACTATAAATGTTATATTTCATGGATATACATATTTGAATAAATATCCCTGTTTTGTTGTGGGTGGGAGTAACAGTGTAATTGACGTCTACCGGCCTGTGCAGCCGAGCGTCTAAATAAAGAGATTATATCTTAAGGTAGTGTTCAAACCCGCATAACTCACTCACTCTCTCTCTCTCTCTCTCTATATATATATATATATATATATATATATATATATATAACGTCATCCACAGACAGACTGTTTCGCTGTTTCATATCAGTGCGGCTAGACATCCGGTTGCCTCTAGCTAGGGTCGAAACCCGACAGACTTGGTGTCAGTCGGAGATTAACCATTAAGCCGTCGGTAGGGATGAAGGTGGATTTTAGCGTATTTATTTTTAGAAACACGCCCAGTGACCGATAGTAACTCGATTCGCTTTTGCGAAGAGTCTCGCTATATATATATATATATATATATATATATATTGTGTGTGTGTGTGATAAAAATATAGTTTTGTTTTGACTTTGAGGTATGATATATTTATGGGTTAAAGTGCCCAATATCATGTATAGATCCTACGTAAATACAAGGGTAGACATTAAGATCAACACCTAGCAGCAACAGTACACTATTTACATTATTCGGACTACTGTCCTCATCTTTGTCGCCATATTTGTTACAACGTTTCGGCCGTTGTACGCTCCGACCTTCTTCAGGTGATTGGAATGTCGAACTGAACCCTTTATTTCGCTCACTGAGGTAGACTGTTCTAGTTCCACATGGCACAGTGGATAAAGGCGTTAGTAACTAACGATCCAGTGACAGGACCCAAAGAGTGTGAGTTCAATACCCGGTTAAGGCAGTGGAGAACTTGGAGAGGGGAATTAACAGGAGATAACTGATAACTGACGACCATCAAACATGACACGTGGAACTAGAACAGTCTACCCCAGTGAGCGAAATAAAGGGTTCAGTTCGACATTCCAACCACCTGAAGAAGGCCGGAGCGTACAACGGCCGAAATGTTGTAATAAATATGGCAAATAAGATGAAGACAATAGCGAATAAGATGAAGACAATAGTCCGAGTAATGTAAATAGTGTACATAATTCCTCATCTCAGAAATATAGACAGGCAACGGTCTATTTCATAATTTCATATTTAAACCGAAACGCAATTACGTTAAGCATAGTGTCGCCGCTGGGTGTTGATCTTAATGTACACCTTTAGTGGATTTATTGAAAATGTGCCATATATATATATATATATAATATGGCATATATATATATATATGTATATATGGCATATAGTTCGAATGTTCTAAGGGTTCAATTGTTGGACACTTTATGGGTCGAAGACGACAGTGATCCATCCATCCTTTGTATATATATATATATATATATATATATATATATATATATATATATATATATATATATATATATATATATATATATATATATATATATATTTTAAGCCCTTTCTTCTGTCAAGTTCATATTTTTTATTTAGTTCTGATGTCAATTGACCCCATCCCTGTCAAAGGTCAACAGACTACCACGCGGTGCCGTCACGCCACCTACGCCCTTACGTCACTTCCGCAAACCTAACCAAAACGTAACCACACTTCCTGCTTACGAAACCGGGTGTCATTCACTCGAGTCTCTTCTTAACAGATGTGCACACTGCGCACATTTCGTAACTGAGTTCTTTATGTGTTGCTGGTTATAATTCTTTCTCTCTTACGCCTGGATGTTATTGTCATCAAAAAAAGGGTTAATATGTTAAATAAACCCTATATTAATTGAATTTAGATAGCGTATTCGTTTGTAAATGTTTTTTTGTGTCTGTAAAAACGAAGAAAATCCGTATGCCTTGGGAAAAAAACTCGACCCAGACCGAATTATTTACTATAATAATCAAGTTCCTCACATTATAGGACAGTTCATACGACACTTAGAGCATTTTGTTATCAGTACAGTACCATCTGTATGTGTGTGGCTGAAAAAAATCATCAAGAAAAAGACTTAATTTATTTAAAATAAAGCAAATACTTGGATTGTGTAGAGATTTATATAAAAAAGAAAAAAAACAAGATATGGCGGGTTTTGCCGTTCGATCAAGACTGTTTTTATTTTCATCTTCAGCAACCCGATCACAGGTAAGTTAAAAAAATATATTAATATTTAATTTATTGATTGATCCATTTATTAATCGACCACTATGTAACTATCCCAAGATATCTATTTTTAAATGTCCCTCACCCCAAGAGAGACTTTTTTTGTTTTTTTATGTACCTTTCTTTCTTTCATTCTTTCTTTCTTTCTTTCATCCTTGGGGATCTTGTCTCATTTTTTTTTAGAGACATTTATTCGGTTTAAAAAATACTGAAATAGTAAAATAATTTAAATATTTACTTTTATTTAATAATAGATTTAATTTTTTTTATATGTGCTGTGGTTGTTTCATTCGTCTCTATACCTTTTTTATTTTTATCAAAAAAAAATAGTAAGATGAAAACAGGTCTTTTTTTCTTCTTCTTTGCCATTAAATTAATTATTATTCGACGAGTTAGTATTTATAAAAATATCTGTATTTATTTATTTATTATTATTAATTTATTTTATTATTTATTTATTTATTTATTTTATTATTATTTATTTTATTAAATAAATACAATTTTTAAAATATTTATATTTTAAATTGAGTACTTGTTTTTTTTTGTTCTTGCTTTTCTTTAAAAAAAAAAAAAAAAAAATTCTTCCGAAAGAAATTAATTAATTCAACAAAAAAAAACACATGAATAAAATTAAAAATAAATTATGACATAAAAATAAAATAAAAAATTCTTACGCGGGTGTAATAAATTTAATTTAAATTTAGATTTATATATATATATATATGATGCAACTATTTTTTTAAAATATTTTTTCTTTCGTGATGAATGAATGAAAAATTAAAAAAATATAAACATATATTATTATTAATTTATGTTCCCAAAAGCAAAAAAATATATATATATATAATTATCGTTTCAATTTTTATAATTAAAAAAATTTAAATGTAATTAAATTTAAAAACTTAAAATTTTACTTTTCATCTGAATTTTTTTTCTTAGATTTCTTTGAAAAAAACATAAACTAACCACTGAACTATCCAACAAAATTTTTATTTTAAAAAATCTACAAAAAAAGATTCATTTTAAATTTAAATTTTATTTTTAAACAAATTTGAAGAATAAAGCTTTCTTTAATTACCAAAAAAGTAAATAAAATCTAATTCTTTTAAAACAATTAAAAAAAAACTTCTCATATAATATGAAGCAAAGTAAATAAAAAAGAAGAAATTAAATTCCACACTAGTTGAAAGAAAATGATTTCTCACAATATGAAGCAGAGTAAAAAGTAAATCATTCTGATAAAAAGATAAAGCTTTTCTTTTTAATTTATTTTTTCAGAATATGAAGCAAAGTAAAAAAAAATAATTCTTGGCTCGTAACATATAATAACAATAAATTTGTTTAACGAAAACTAAAGAAAACTAGAAAAAAAGCTTATTTTATTTTTTTTTTTTTTAAATCCGTTCATTAACAAAACTTTTTTCTAAACAGAACACAGATGACACAACTGAAGACAACCTTTATTGTTCAAAGATTGTCGTTAATAGTTCTGTTGGAAAGACGAGAGCAAAAACTGAATTATTGTGAACGATTTAAAATTAAAAATCTGTTTTTTTTTTCTTGTTAGTGATTAAAATTTGTCGTTTTATGACTTTTTTTTTTCTCTAAATAAGTTCACATAGATATAAAATGAAAGCTAAACTAAAAATAAACAGTTACTTAAAAAAAAATCAATGAATGAAGTTTTTATTTTTATATGAACAGTCCAGACAAGAGGGGAGAGAGATTGTGGGGATAAAAGTCGGCTATGTGGGTAATGGCATTTTAACACAAGATAGACGATGGTGCACATAAGGTAATTAAGGCGTGTGGGGGTGAATGCAGAGGAAGAAAATGAGATAGATGGTTATATAGATGACCCCGAGTTAGAGGGTCACTGTCAGAGACAGACGAAAGTAGGGAGTCAAAGGATGAGGTAGATAGTCAAGGCCAACTTAAGACAACTAGCCAGCCAGAAACAGGTTTATACATGCAGAACGACGTAGCTACAAGTTTACATAGACAAATAGACATAGGTGCAAGTTTATACAAACGAATAGACTTAGGTGCAAGTTTATACAGACAAATAGACATAGCTACAAGTTTATACAGACAAATAGCCATAGGTGCAAGTTTATACAGACAAATAGACATAGCTACAAGTTTATACAGACAAATAGACATAGCTACCACTTTATACAGACAAATAGCCATAGCTACCACTTTATACAGGCAAATAGCCATAGGTGCAAGTTTATACAGACAAATAGACATAGCTAGAAGTTTATGCAGACAAATAAATTTAGCTACAAGTTTATACAGACAAATAGACATAGGTGCAAGTTTATATAGACAAATAGACATAGGTGCAAGTTTATACAGACAAATAGACATAGGTGCAAGTTTATATAGACAAATAGACATAGGTGCAAGTTTATACACACAAATAGACTTAGCTACAAGTTTATACAGACAAATAGACATAGCTACAAGTTCATACAGACAAATAGACATAGGTGCAAGTTTATACAGACAAATATACTTAGTTACAAGTTTGTACAGACAAATAGACATAGCTAGCACTTTATACAGACAAATAGCCATAGCTACCACTTTATACAGGCAAATAGCCATAAGTACAAGTTTATACAGACAAATAGACATAGCTAGAAGTTTGTACAGACAAATAAACTTAGCTACAATTTTATATAGACAAATAGACATAGGTGCAAGTTTATATAGACAAATAGACATAGGTGCAAGTTTATACGGACAAATAGACATAGGTGCAAGTTTATACAGACAAATAGACATAGGTGCAAGTTTATACAGACAAATAGACATAGGTGCAAGTTTATACAGACAAATAGACATAGGTGCAAGTTTATACAGACAAGTAAACTTAGCTACAATTTTATACAGACAAATAGACATAGGTGCAAGTTTATACAGACAAATAGACATAGGTGCAAGTTTATACAGACAAATATACTTAGTTACAAGTTTATACAGACAAATAGACATGGCTACAAATTTGTACAGACAAATAGCCATAGCAACCACTTTATACAGACAAATAGCTATAAGTACAAGTTTATACAGACAAATAGACATAGCTACAAGTTTATGCAGATAAATAAACTTAGCTACAATTTTATACAGACAAATAGACATAGCTACAAGTTTATATAGACAAATAGACATAGGTGCAAGTTTATACAGACAAATAGACATAGGTGTAAGTTTATACACACAAATAGACATAGGTGCAAGTTTATACAGAAAAAAAGACATAGCTACAAGTTTATACAGACAGATAGACATAGGTGCAAGTTTATACAGACAAATAGACATAGCTATAAGTTTAGACAAAAACAAATAGACATAGGTGCAAGTTTATAAACAGCCAAATAGACTTAGGTACAAGTTTAGATTCAGATAGACAAATAGCTATGGGTACAAGTTTAGATAGACAGACATACATATAGCTAGTAACATGTTTAGACACAATCAAAATCAGGAATGAGTTTAGACCGGCAGACATTATAATCAGAAAAAACTTTTTAAAGATGGACATTAATTCAGGGCTAACTTCAGACAGACACCTGTTCACAGAGACAGACAGCTAGTCTGGCACAAGTTTAGACAGTTCATGGCAGGTTGTGATAAAACACCCTTAGTCTGGGACCGGTCCAGATGGGCCAATTATCAGATGCCATGATAGATGCCAATAGACAAACCTTGATAGACGGAAGGTCAGGGATTGGTCTAAATTAGTCTTTGACAAAGTTGGTGGAAAAGGATGTGGCAAAAAATCTGTCTCACATTGAAACTAAATGATCATTTTTTTTTGTGCATGTGGGGTTAATCTCTAAAATAAAGTTCAAGTCATGAACCTTTAAACAATTTTTTTTTAACAAAGAATAGAATTTACATAAGAGTTATAGATGAAGGTTTGATGAACATTTTATTTTTTGTTCTAAAATTTGAGAAAATAGTCCAAACACTTGTTTGTATTGTGGTCATGTGGTCTGGAAAGGAGATGTACCACATGCCAGCCAGATTAGGCAGCAATCACTGTGGCAACTAGAGGTCATTGTACTTCCATGGCTCTTGGTATATATGATCACAGACTTTGTGTTGGATGAATTCTTGCTTTACATTTGCAGTCAGACAATTGCCAACAGAGAAGTGGGCAATGTTTTATCTTTGTGCTCACAAAAAATGGTGTTTCAATAGGACAGTTATTCTCTTGACACTGGAATTACTGTATACACTTTTGACTCCCTCAGCAATGTTTATTTATTCTCTTTCTCTCCCTTTTTCTCTTTTATCTTTTCTATTCTTTTCTCTTTTGTTTTCATCTTTTAATGCATTTTTGTTTTCTCTCTCTTTTCTCTTTATCTTTTCTAGCTTTCTTGCATTTTTATGCTTTCCCGCTCTTTTTCTCTTTTCCTCTCTCTTTTTCCTTTCATATCCTTTTTATCTTTTCTTTTTCTCTTTTCTCTTACTTTTCTCTTCTCTCTCTCTCTCTTATTTTTATCCTTTTTATGTTTTCTTTTTCACTCTCTTTTTCTCTTTTCTATCCCTTTTTCTCTCTTTTTCTCTTTTACTATCCTTTTTTCTCTCCTTTTCTTCTCCTTTTTTCTCTCCTTTTTTTTCTCCTTTTTCTCTTTTCTATTCTTTTTCTTCTTTTTCTCTTTTCTATCCTTTTTCTTCTTCAATTCTCTCTTTTTCTCTTTTCTCTCTTCACAAGTATTTCTAATAATGATAATTTCTCATCTCAAAAATTTTGACAAAATCAATAAAAAATCACATAGAAAATATAAATCGCAAATTTGTAACTCTTAAGGAATAAGAAATAATAGGAAAATCAACACTAAGGGAAATAACTCAGTCGGTAATATACCAAGGGAAATAACACAGTTGGAAATATTTAACCTTCATTCTCAGTGTGTCAAAAGAATGGTTATTCCGTTGACACTGCTATTTTTGACTCCATC